GGGGCGCATTTACATTTTCTTATCGCGCCTCCACCGAAAGACCGCTGAGAAAACTAAAAGCTTCGAAAATGGGCACGCGAACCAACCCGTCGAAAAAAAGATAAGAAAGGGGAACTTTCGAGGTGGGCTCGGACTTCGGAAAAGAAACGCTTGGGTTGGTGCTTTGAAGGTTAAACATAAGAGAGCTTAAAAGCTCGCCCGATAATACGTCATGTTAAATTATTATGATATAAATGTGTTTTATGCGGGTGACAGCTTTAGCTTTTCACATCAAAAAGGTACATTTTTCATCTTCTGTTTCTTGGAGTGGAATTTTTTTGCTGTAGTGGAAAGGGGAAATGGGTGGTTTTAGATTTTTATCGCGAAAATGTTTTTATGTAGGTGATTTTTATCTAAAATCTTAAGAAATTAATAAATTTTCGGTTTAAAATATTAATTTTGTAAGAAAAAATTTTGATTTATTTAAAAGTTTATCAAATTTGACGTGTTTAGTTACAAAATGGTTTATAACTGAAATATTAAAAATGATTTGTTGGAGTGATATTAATAAAAATTGTTTATAATAAATCATAAAAACATAATCTATAAATAATGTCTTTCTAAGTATATCGCATGTTTAGTTATAAACCATAAAATCCCTAAATCTCAAATTTGAAATTTTTGGAAAAAGTTATTGTTACATCTCGAAAACTAGAATTGCTACAAGAAAATGTTATGGATGGGAATTGTTTGTGATGAAACAGCAAAACTAAATCAGCACGCAATCATAACCTAAGTATTATTAATGCCAACCTAGCGGGTTCAAAATTCCAAATATTACAAATTTGTCGTATTTAGTAACAAAATGGATCATAATCAAATGTTAAAAATGATTGGTTGGAATGATATTAATAAAAATTGTTCATAATAAATCATAAATACATAATCTATAAATAATGTCTTTCTAAGTATATCGGATGTTTAGTTATAAACTATAAAATCCCCAAATCTCCAATTTGACATTTTTGGAAAAAGTTATTGTTAGGTATCTCGAAAACGAGAAATGCTAGGAGAAAATGTTATGGATGAGAATTGTTTGTAATGAATCAGTAAAATTCAATCAACAAGCAATAATAACCTAGGTATCATTATTGCCAACCTAGCGGGTTCAAAATCCCAAATAGTTCAAATTTGACGTAATTAGTAACAAAATGGTTTATAACTCAAATATTAAAAATGATTGGTTGGAATGATATTAATAAAAATTGTTCATAATAAATCATAAAAACATAATCTATAAATAATGTCTTTCCAACTATATCGTATTTTCAGTTATAAACCATAAAATCCCCAAATCTCCAATTTGACATTTTTGGAAAAAGTTATTGTTAGGTATTTTGAAAACAAGAAATGTTACGAGAAAATGTTATGGATGAGAATTGTTTGTAATGAATCAGTAAAATTCAATCAACAAGCAATAATAATCTAGGTATCATTATTGCCAACCTAGTGGATTCAAAATCCCAAAAAGTTCAAATTTGACGTATTTAGTAATAAAATGGTTTATACCTTAAATTTAAAAAATGATTGGGTGGAATGGTATTAATAAAACTTGTTCATAATAAATAGTAAAAACATAATCTATAAATAACGTCTTTCCAACTATATCGCATGTTTAGTTATAAACCATAAAACCCCATATCTCCAATTTGACATTTTTGGAAAAAGTTATTGTTATATCTCGAAAACTAGAAATGCTACAAGAAAATGTTATGTATGAGAATTGTTTGTAATGAGCCAGCAAAACTCAATCAGCAAGCAATTATAATCTAAGTATCATTATTGCCAACCTAGCGTGTTCGAAATCCCAAATATTTCAAATTTGACGTTTTTAGTAACAAAATAGTTTATGAGAGGTTTGAAATTAAAATTTGATACTTCTATACTTTTAACTGGTCATTTATTAAGTTTTATTTATCTGACTAGTTTCGGTTTAAAAAACCATCTTCAGAGATAAACTACAAGAGATGAAATATACAATAACAATAAAAAATCTTGAACAATTAAGAAATTTAAATCTTATGAATTAAAATTGTTAAATGTAAAAAATTCCTTATGACTAGTACTTACGTCAAAATTTTAAGAAAACAACATTGTATTTAAATACAACTTCATAATTAATTTTTATTAAAACAATATTAAAACCAATATATACGTTAACACACTTTAGAAATTTGACAAAGGTTCTGTAGAATTAAAAGTCGTGTAATGGCGATATGTAAAACAAGTTTTGAGGCAAGATTTTAGCGTTGGCGTGGAGAAGGAGAAAAAGCTGGTATGTTAAATTTAAATGTTCCAAAAATTTTTATGTTAATTTTATAATAACAATATAATGGGAAACAAAGAAAAAAAAAAAGAAAATGAAAAATGGTTTATAACTCAAATATAAAAAATGATTGGTTGGAATGATATTAATAAAATTTGTGCGTAATAAATCATAAAAACATAATCTATAAATAATGTCTTTCCAACTATATCGCATGTTTAGTTATAAACTATAAAATCTCCAATTTGACATTTTTGGAAAAAGTTATTGTTAGATATCTCGAAAACTAGAAATGCTACGAGAAAATGTTATGGATGAGAATTGCTTGTAATCAACTAGCAAAATTCAATCAGCAAGCAATCATAACCTAACCATAATTATTGCCAACTTAGCAGTATCAAAATCCCAAATATTTCAAATTTGACGTATTTAGTAACAAATTGATTTATAACTCATATATTAAAAATGATTGGTTGAAATGATATTAATAAAAATTGTTCGTAATAAATCATAAAAACATAATCTATAAATAATGTCTGTCCAAGTATATCGCATTTTTAGTTATAAACCATAAAATTCCCAATTCTCCAATTTGACATGTTTGGAAAAAGTTATTGTTAGGTATCTCGAAAACTAGAAATGCTACGAGAAAATGTTATGGATGGGAATTGTTTGTAATGAACCAGCAAAACTCAAACAGCAAGCAATCATAACCTAAGTATCATTATTGCCAACATAGCGGATTCAAAATACCAAATATTTCAAATTTGACGTATTTAGTAACAAAATGATTTATAACTCAAATATTAAAAATGATTGGTTGGAATAATATTAATAAAAATTGTTCATAATGAATCATAAAAACATAATTTATAAATAATATCTTTCCAACTATATCGCATGCTTAGTTATAAACCATAAAATCCCCAAATCTCCAATTTGTCATTTTTGGAAAAAGTTATTGTTAGGTATTTTGAAAACTAGAAATGTTACGAGAAAATGTTATGGGTGAAAATTGCTTATAATGAACCAGCAAAACTCAATCAGCAAGCAATCATAACCTAAGTATCATTATTGCCAACCTTGCGGGTTCTAAATCCCAAATATTTCAAATTTGACGTATTTAGTAATAAAATGGTTTATAACTCAAATGTTAAAAATGAGTGGTTGGAATGATATTAATAAAAATTATTCATAATAAATCATAAAAACGTTATCCATAAATAAGGTCTTTCCAACTATATCGCATGTTTAGTTATAAACCATAAAATCCCCAAATCTTCAATTTGACATTTTTTGAAAATGTTATTGTTAGGTATCTTTAAAACTAAAACTGCTACAACAAAATATTATGGATGGGAATTGTTTGTAATGAACCAGCAAAACTCAATCAGCAAGCAAACATAACCTAAGTATTATTGCCAACCTAGCAGGTTCAAAATCCCAAATATTTCAAATTTGACGTATTTATTACAATACAGGGTAATTCAAATTCGACTCCCACCATTGGGATCTCAGAAACCATAAGAGATACAGAAATGATTAAAGGCAAAGTTCCGTATCTTAGAGCTCATCATTTTCAACTAAGTTTTTGGATCTAGCCGTTTTAGTTATTAAAATGTGGCCGAAAAAAAAAAATAACTTTTTCGTTTTTTGCCTATAACTTCTTTATTTTTCGTTTTTTCGTGAATCTGAAAAAACATTCTTAACACAACTAGAAATTTTCTCCGACGTTTCGTTATCGTACAACTATCATCAGGTTTATTTTTTCTTATGAACGCCATACTTGATTTTCACACAATGTATTTCATTTAAAAAACATTGAATTATTCAAAAAAAAAAAATAAACCAGATGATATTTTCACGAAAACGAAACGTCGGAGAAAATTTCTAGTTTTGTCATGACATTTTTCATAAAAAGTTACCTTAAGAATCTTTTTTCTTGAGAATTTTTTTTGTTTTTCGGTCATATTTTAAAAACTAAAACGGCTAGATCCAAAAACTTTATTGAAAAATGATGAGCTCTAAGATACGCAACTTTGCCTCCATTTAACCATTTCTGTATCTCTTATGGTTTCTGAGATCCAATGGTGGGGGTCGAATTTGAATTATCCTGTATAATGTAGCAAGATTTTGTTTCAACTATTTTGTATTTCATTAAAATATACAGCAATCTAACGCTGAATAACAGTTAAAAACTAGAAGTAATACTAGCACTAGAACTAACATTAAACCTAGAGCTAGAAACATTCAAGTTTAGCCATCTTAAGAGACGTACGGCTAAACCTGACTATTTCTAGTTCTAGATTTAATGATAGTTACAGTTCCATTATAATATACAACAATGAAACGCTTAATAGCAGGTGAAACTAGAAGTAACACTAGACCTAGACCTTCTAGTTTTGGTTTCATGAAAACATACAACAATCTAGCGCTGAATAACAATTAAAATTAGAACTAACAGTAACACTAGAACGAACTGTAAACCTGCAACTAGAAACATTCAAGTTTAGCCATCATAAGGCTAACTTGACTAATTCAAGTTCTAGCTTTAATGCTAGTTCTAGTTCCATAAAAATGTAGAACAATTTAATGCTGAATAGACCTAGAAAGTTTCATGTTTATGATTTATTTTTTATATTTTATGATTTTTTTAATAAGTTAAGAATCTTAATTTGATAATCATAATTATTACCTTTTCCCATTTCTTCTTCTCCTTTTTGTAGCGTATACCGTCCCTAATTGATTCATATTTGGGCCGGTGATTGTTGTTGAATTTGCGCCGCCGAGCGCCGCGACGGTGGTAACCGTCGGCGGAGGCGGCGGCGGATGATGGTGGTGATGTATCGCCTCACCTCCAAACGCGGCACTGGGACCCACGGAACCAAGAACCACGGCACCGGCAGCACATTGGGGAGTTCTCGGCGGCCCCGCGAATTCCGTTTTGAAAAAAGAAACTCGATCTTTTTCGCACTTCCCTTATTTTTTATGCTTTTTTAAATCACAACTTATTTAAACTTTAAATCGACGCTTAACTTTTTACACGATTTTGTTTACTTTTGTTGGTTGTTGTAAATCCGGGGATTGAGACGCGGACGCGCGTTTAAAAAGGTTCTTTCTTTTACCATGCGACGCACTCGGATCTCCGACGCTCGCCGCCCTGCGACCCGGACTGGGGTCGAAAACATGCGCAGACCCCGCCGGCCCGGGGGCCCCCTTCTTTGTTCAACAGCCCCACTACGAAGACGCCTGCTACGGCATCAACGGGCGGCTCCGGGTCCCCGGATTGGTTACCGGAGTTTCGAAACGTCACAACATGGCTACTTTTCAGGCAATTTTTTGAGTGGGGATTTCTAAACTACACTGAATGGGGAAAAAGGGATATAAGGGGAATATTATTGAGGGGTTTATTGAACATTTAAATAAGGGTTAATATAAAAAAATTAATGATTAAAATTCAAATTCTTAGATGACTCCAAGAATATATTTTTCAAAATAATATTTATGACCAAAATTGATTAAATTGATTGAGATTGATTTAGACTGCGAATTAAGGTGAAAAGTTGTTGTCGCAATTTCAATAATAATTCCTCATCTACATATCATTCCTTTTTTCTCACAAAATTTTCCTTTAAGAACAGCAATTTAGCAATTCCTTGCATTACAAGTTCGATTATCGTTGTGCAATGTTGTTCTACTTTTTCATAAAGCATCACTTAAAGCATCAACTCAATCAATCCACTTATTTAGGATTATTTCATAAGAGAAAATTTTACGTAGCTTGAATAGCTTCTTGAATTCTACATGTAACATTTATATCTTTATTTTCGTCCTACATCTAGAGCTTATTACTTTTGATATAGGTCTTAACTGTTTATGATTGTTTGTCTATATTTATGATCAACACCATATGAGTTCAATTTCAACTACATATTGTTTTGAAAACGATTATTCAACAAGATTTACCCATTTCGTAAGATTCCATTAATGTTGTATTGACATACCATTTGCCCATCTTTGGTCTGACAACTCGCACCAACCTCATTTCGATAAATTGAATCCCCTTTTCACTTATTTTGAGTGATCCATCTAGCTGATTTTGATCTTTTATCCTTCTAGTAAAGTCTTGTGTACGAAATCCTTATATGGCACCTATCATACATATGACCTTTTTGTGGTATTTTCTGCTAATAGGATTATGGTAGTCAGTAGATTGTGATTTCCGAAGGCATTCAAAGACATTTTTTCAATCAAAGCAAACTTTCCCGATCGATCCCTAAGCTCGTCTATCCACTAATATAAAGATAGTTAGCAAGACAACCTAATTACACAATGATTTAGAGAAATTAATATTGACATGGTCTTGGTCTCATTTGAGGTTGTGTCTGCTCACGGCGAACATACGCAGGAACATATACTATGTAGGTTATTCTATACCAATGAAATTTTGATGACAGAAAGTTTGGGTTGGGTTGAGTGGGAGTTATGATGACACATTCGATATTATTGAATGAGTTGGGCTGGGTTGTCTGTGCCAACGGTGAGCATACCGCAGGAATATATCTGTACGTTGTTCAATCCCAATGGAATTTTGATGGCAGAAAGTTTGGGTTGGGTTGAGTGGGAGTTGGGATGGCATCTTGGATATTATTTAATGGATTAGGTTGGCTTTTATAACTGTTTTTGGAGTCAGTGTGGAAGCATTCTTCTCGATGAAAAATCGCAGAAGTAGAAACGATGACAACCACGACGAGTTGTTGATTAAAGCGCAACAGCGTAGTTTCCTGTCTAAGTTTCCTGTCGGAGATCAAAAGATGTGCTCCAATCCGACCTAAAATAAGGAGATATAGTAGATTTTTTTTCACCTTCCTAAGACAAAAAAAGAAATGGTTGGATTGGGTTAGGTTGGGTTGGTAATATATGCAGCTCGTTGCCGATAGATCTTATGATAACGCGAATTATGATGACAAGGTATTTAAGGAATGGGAAAGAAGGTTTAATCTTGACCGATCTAAAGAGATCGACTTCCACTTGAGCCAGTTCTTCATAGGACACGGATGTTTCAACGCGTATCTGTGCAAGTTCAAGGAAAGACACTAAAACATCTGCGATTTCTGCACACTTTCTACAAGTGCGCCAGATGGAGGGAAGACAGAGACAAGGTCTAGGAACACATATGTTTTGTGATCAAGTCTGAAAATACGGTGTGCCATATGCTAGACAGTGAGGAAAACTGGAAACACATTGCGACATTTGTTGGGGATGTTTTGGTCCAAAAAGAGAATAAAAAGAGGCAGAGGCTGTAAAGACTGTTTTCTAGTGGCGTCCCTTTGTAATAGAGATAAGAAGACACGGGGGATCCTATGGACCCCCCTTCCCCCGTATGTAACAATGAGTTGTAATAGTAAAGAGCCTTTCATGTGTTTGTTTTCCGTTTTTGGTCGAACCCAACTCGAAGAGGTGGAAGAAGAGGACCCCTCTCGTCCCGGTACGTATGGTAATGCAGTTTCCATAAAAAGTCTGTTGGTGTTTCTGTTTTGTTTTCGGAATATGAGGAAAGAGAGGAACAAGAGGAAGACAGCATACGCGGTAGGCTAATGGTGAAAACGCGGTAGCGTAGTTGCAGCCCATGGTGGAGAATAGTGGAGGATAGAGGTTTTCAATCGGTCGGATACACAAAGATGGGATTCAACCCGACACTACCGGACCGTCCAACCTCCTAGGTCAGGTGTCTGGACGCAGATTTTTTTGAGATATAGAGATGAATGAGGACTTGGGTTGAGTTGTGATTGAGTCCAAGACTAGATTTTAGAAGTATTAATTTCAGGAAGTGATAAACTTAGCTTATGTAGGATTGCATAGGGATGCAGTTTAGTTAAAGTTTTGGAAATTATTGGTTGAGTTGGAAGTAGATTGAGTTTTATGATTTATGTTTGAATTTTGATGACTTCAGTGATGCATAAAAATGAGCATTATTAGACGATTCACGTATTCATTATCCAACCTGTGTCACACCCGTTACATTACAATATCACACCCGTTATAATATCATATAATTTGATTTAGAATTATTACTTATCATAATATGATAAGACAACAAGCAGCTTTATTTTAATTTCGAATTCATTGAGTTGCTATCTTTCATAAAATATCTTTATCATGTAATCTCCAAAACTTGTTTTGCTACATTTTAGTTCCCTCTCTCACCTTGAAAAAAACGGCATACTAGCAAAACAACCATGAAACCTTGAAATGAACCGATCGGTAAAGAAACAGCGAACAACGTTGATTGATAGTTTGGCAATCCATTGACACATCAACGATAAACATTTCTACAACTTCTATAGCATTAGGTGTATCTTCAAAATCTTTCTTTTCGATCTTTGCTCATATGAAGATAATGGTTTATCATTAGGAGTGTTTCAAAAACAATCTGTTCTAAATATATTGAAGTAGAAAGATGATTGTCCATCTTAAATGTGGAAAAGTGTACTTGAATGTTGGACGTTTTTCCAAAAAGTTTGTGCTACAACTCTTGCGAGTTGGTACAGCTCAAAAGTCTAATTATAGAATTTTGCAAGTGCAGTGATAGCGATTACATAAATGTAATAGCTTGCATCCAAGGTAATGTGAATGCAACGTTCTTGCAAAGTTCCCAACAAAATATTTGAAAAGACATCTCAATCCATGCAACCTTAGTCCTGAGGAAATGCATAATAAATTTTCTGGCACACTGACAGAAGCAATAACTGTAATATTTATTCCTTTTTCGGCAATCGCTAGTCAACCTTCCTATTAAAATGTAAGCTTTGTTGTTTTCTTTCTTGTCCTTGTCCCTTCACACTATAGTCTTGGGTGGGTTTTGGCCACAAAATAACCAGAAGTGACAGTGGCAGTATCCCGCCAAATCTGACGCCATATTATAGCAACTTACCATGCTTTGTTGCTATTGGTGGTAAAGATTTGGCGGGATACTGCTGGTATCACTACTGACTACTGGTTATTCTGTGCCAAGGTCCGTTGAGTATTGGTTATATGGAAGTTATTATATTATGGAACTAGAATCATTCGGGTTTAGCCGCACGTCTCTAAAGACGGCTGAACCCGAATGATTCTAGTTCTAGGTATAGTGTTAGTTCTAGTTTTACACTTGCACTGTCACTAGAACTAACATTAGACCTAGAACTAGAAACATTTGGGTTTAGCCGCACGTCTCTAAAGACGGCTAAACCCGAATGATTCTAGTTCTAGGTATAGTGTTAGTTCTAGTTTTACACTTGCACTATCACTAAAACTAACACTCTACCTAGAACTAGAATCATTTGGGTTTAGCCGCACCTCTCTAAAGACGGCTAAACCCGAATGATTCTAGTTCTAGATATAGTGTTAGTTCTAGTTTTACACTTACACTATCACTAAAACTAACACTATACCTAGATCTAGAATCATTTGGGTTTAGCCGCACTTCTCTAAAGACAGATACGTTCATAACAACAGCGTTCAGAAGGAGTTTGATAACCTTAACAGTATATTTAATCAATGGACCTTGATTCTGTGCTTTTCGTAACTCGCGATAAGATGGCGGAATTGAAATCGATGTCACAAAACGAGGTACCGCCAACATCAAACGAATAATCAAACAATTAACAAACATAAATAACAAACAATATCATATAATTTGATTTAGAATTATTACTTATCATAATATGATGTAGCCTTATTTAATTCCGAATTCATTGAGTTCCTTGAGGTCTCAATTTTTATCATGTAATCTCAAAAGCTTGTTTTGCTACATTTTAGTTCCTTCTCCCACCTTAATAATTGTGAAAACTTAAAATATAAAGCTTTTGGAATTAATATAATAGAATAAAATAAAATTTAAAGTTACTAATTGATTTGGTATATGTTTTGATTAAAACATGAAGAAATACCTAAAGATAATTTCGTTCGAATCCAATGCATGCAAAACGAACCTAAGTTTTAATCAAGATTATAAACTTGGTATAATTATCATAACATCTCTGCACGCAAATTCAACACGTTCTTAACAATTTAGATCAATTTAGTTCCATAATCTCCATCATCTTGTTAATATAAGTACTTAGATTAAACCCTTTCGCACTTTATTTTTATAATAATCATAACGTGATACAAAA